ATTTGATTCCATAGACCATAGATAGTCATGCCATGGTTTAAAAGAAAATTCTAGCATTAGTGCTGAGGATGGATTAGACAAGGAAGAAGGTGAGGACCCGCTGTAGGTTTTCAAGAGAGAAACAGATTTAACAGATTTGGAGGAGGAGGAAGCAACACTTTAACAATGGAAGAGGAGGAAATGAATCAGGGAGTTGGTATTGAGTTCCATGTTGAACGTGTGCTCATTCGTCATCCAAAAGAAGATGACCAGGAGGGAGGTCGAGCTGTCTGTCTGCAGCTCCAGAAAAGGGGGAAGTCTGAGTATATAGACAGAGGAATCATCTGGGAACAGATGGCATTTAAAGCTAAGAAAATGGATGAGAGATCATCAGAAAAAATTTTAAGTGGACAGATTCTCATTATTAAGGATGAACTCACATTAACACTCCCTATTTGAAATTAGATGACTTTCATTTCTTTAGATGAGGGGTCCATGTAACCCTAACCTCAAAATGTCTGGAGACCTCTGAAATTTTAATTAAAACTTTGTTTAAATGTAGCTTTTTGTTAGGACAGAGACTGTAACTTTTATCAGATTTTGAAGGGGGTCTGGGCTAAAAAAAAAGAGTCAAAACCAATAGTGTTTTGATATACTTTTTAAAATTCCTATGATACTTAAAACCTAAACTAAATTAAAGAACTGGATTAGACTCAAAAATAAGTACAACCATTTTGGTCTCATTCAACTCTTTTGCAAAAAGAATCTAGGTTCCACCATTATTTTAGGATAAGGAACAGAGGAAGGGTGAGCAAAAAACAAAAGTTTGGTTGAGTTCATGATTTGGTTAGCAATGTTTCAATTATTTTCAGATAAACTCCCCACTAAATTTTTTTATAGTAAATCTATGTTTGCTCATAAGACAAAAGTAGGGGATTGAAATAATTACATATATGGTTTTAAATGATTACCTTTGTCATTTTTAATGAGACCTATTGGGTTGTCAGAAAAGTCATGCCATGTTTTTCTATGCAAAAATGCACCATGACTTTTCCGACAACCCAATATATGTCAGAAGTTCCTAAAGTTCACATCCTTTCAGGTCACTCTTCCCACCGCTATGATTATCTATTCTCTGGTTTCAGTACATATTTGGACTGAAGTATGAATTCAAGTTTCTCACTTGACTATTATATAGCCATGCCTTTCTTCATAATAACTTTCTATATGTGATAGAGATTAAACCTTCTATGTGTGAAAGGCATATTCTAAGTACAATATAAAATTTTCTGATTGTGTGTGTGTGTGTGTGTGTGTGTATCAAAGGATACTGGTGTGTGTGTGTGTGCGCGTGTGTGTGTGTATCAAAGGATACTACTAAGAAAGTGAAAAGACAATGCATGAGATGGGTAAAATATTTGCAAATCACTTATCTAATAAAGGTCCAAAATCTTTAATACATAAAGAATTTTGGGAACCAGCAGTTAGCGTAATGGCTATGTCTCTGGACTCCCATGTAGTTGACCGCGGTTCAAGTCCCGGACCCGGTGGCTTAAAACTCACGCTGGGCGCGTGTGCGTGCGTGCCCAAGATCCCAAGAGGAGAAGGGAGGAGAAGGGATTGTGGCGTGACCATCCCCCGTGGGGGGTGATTTCTCGCTTTCTGTCTCTCTGTTTCTCTCTGTCTGGCGAGCGCACGCACCCTATAGCGAAAATCTCTCAAAAAAAAAAAAAAAGAATTTTTACAACTCAACAGCGAAAAGAGAAATAACCCAACTTTAAAGAGGGCCAAAAATGTGAATGAACATTTCTCCAAAGAAAACACACAAATGGGGCTGGCAGGTGGAGTGGTGAAGGGTGCTGGACTCCCACATGGCTGACTGCTGTCTGAGTGCCAGACCTGGTGACTTCCTTTCTCACTTTCCCTCTGGCCGAACTAAAATAAATAGATAAGGCTAAATAATTTTTTTAAAAAAAGACACACAAATAATGCATACATGAAAATATAATTCAGCATCATTAGCCTTTAGCAATAAATTAATCAAAACCACAATAAGATACCACTCTGCACTTACTAGATGGACAGAATTTTTTTTCCAACAAAAAATAATGAGTGTTCGTGAGGAATTAGAAAAATTGATACCTTCACATTACTGGTGGGAATGTAAAAATGGTGTACCCATGGTGAAAAGGAGTTTGGCAGTTCCTCAAAAGTTAAAGGTGGAGTAACTATATGAATTCATATGAGTAACCAGAAATTCTACTCCTTTGGCATATACTCACAGAAACTAAAAACATATGTTCACACACAAAAAAAAAAAAAAAAAAAAAAAAAACCCTTGTGCTCGAATAGTCATAGGAGCATTATTTATGCCAGCCCAAAAGTAGAAATGACCCAATTCCCACTAACTGAATAATAAATAAGCCAAATGTGATATATCCATATAATGGAATATTATTCAGCCACAAAAAGGAATGAAGTGCTGATACATGCTAAAACATAAATGAACCTTGAAAACATTATACTGAATATTTAAAAAAAAAAAGACAGCACAAAAAGCCACCCTATTGAATGATTTCATTTATACAAAGCTTCCAAAATAGACAAACCCACAGAGACAGAAAAGAAATTAGTGGTTGTCAGCAGCTAGAGCAAAACAGAAATTGGGAGGCACGGAGTTTCATTTTGATGGAAATGTTCTGGAACTAGATGGTGATAATGGTTGCAAACATTGTGAATGTACTAGAAACACTAATTGTACACTTTAAAGTGGATAAGAAGGTGAGCTGCAAGTTATATAAATGTCATTTCAATAAAAAAATGCAATATAACTATATATAATTAAAAATACTACAAAGAATCCACGACATTAAAAAAAAAATAAAATTCCCTTGTGTTTGCAAACCTCAAATACGTTCACATCAGATGAGAATTCCTCACCACTTTGAGATCAATTATATTTATGCTAAGCTAATAAAACTAAGGTGCAATAAAAACCTTACTTAGTAAATAATTAAGGAAGTGGGGAAAATATTAACGTGCAGTTGCTTTGTGAATCTGTTTCTAATATTTGGGAGATACAAAAGGACAAGGCATTTTATTATGAGGCTCTTCCCAATCATAAGAGTTTTCTCCAATTTAAAACTCTTTCAAAATAGTTGTGGAAAAGGGGGTGAAAGGAGGACTCGAACTGTCATCTTCTTCTCTCTGCCCCTATTTCTTCTAGAAATGATGTTAAACATTGGCTATGAAGGCACTTTGGAACTCTTTTTAATTTTGCTCTTCTTCGGGTAGAAATCACTTGCATTTCTATTTGCAGTACCTAGTATGGTGAACTTCCACTATGTACAGTGTTCCTGTTTGATCCCCAAGAGGATGATTTTATTTCCATTTGTCTTCATATCATAAGCAGGGGAAGAAACTACGTGATAGAGAGGAGGGCTTCAACTCTTTCAAGAGAACTAGTAATAGTGTTACATACTATAACAAAAAAAATGTCCTGATCACAAAAATATTATTTGATTTTTTAAAATTATTTTTATTAAAGAATGATTTATTTATTTAATTCTATTTGTTGTTGTTATTATTATTATTTTTTATTGACCAGAGAGAAAGAGAAAGGGAAAGCAAGAAAGCAAGCTGCCAGGTCCGGGACTCAAACCATGTGGGAGTTCAGTGCCTTTCTCCCCCACACCACCTATTAGTCCCCTAAAAATTTATTTTAAAAATTTAAAAAATTGAAGAATTAAAAATCATATATGTAAATAGTATATATTTTTATATTTTATATATATATGTGTGTGTATATATATTTTTTTTTCACTGTCATTCTCCCTAGCCTTGCATAGGCCCATCTCCCTGATCAATTCTTGATGGCTCTCTCCCTGAACATCCGTCTGATTATGGTCAAACCACAGATGCTCTCATTAACAAGCAGGACCAGCCACAAATTTGTGGAGTTTAGGTCAAAATGAAAATGCATGGTTCCTTGTTCCAAAATATTAAGAAGGCAACAGCAAAATCATAAACCTATCAGCTACAACGTGTCTCACGTCCATGGGCCGGTGGAGACTGATCCAACAGACCCTCCTGCGTCACCACCTTCTCACTGTGATTAGTGGCAAGTTTCTTAACCTTCCAGACCCTCACCTCCCTCACTTGCAACATGAAGCTAATAAGCCCCATCTTGCCTTGGTTGCAAAGATTTTTTTTTTTTAAAGTCTCCAGTTTGGATACTATTGTTTAACACGTGTTTAATTTTTCTGTGGAGAAGGGGGGGTGTCATGTATCTAGCTGGGGCATGCATGGCAGAAAAGCCATTTGGTGAATTAAATATAGGTCTTTCAAAGCTTAAGGAAGGGGCCGAGAGGGGCTGCTCTTGCTCTCATCTCCAACCTGCCACCCTTTGCCTGGCTCTGTGTTTTTATTAGCTCACATCCTCAGTACATCAGTGGCAAGGGTGATGAAACCGGTGGCAGATTTAACTGCCAGGCAGCTGGGTCACCGTCCCGTGGGTCTTGTTGTCATGCCGCGATCTTAAAGTGACCACGGCTGCTTGGGCTGCTGCTTTCCAAAAGGCTCCAAGAGAGACCACTGAATAGTTAATCGGTGGAAAAGGGAAGACAGGGGCTGTTGCTTGCAGAAAACACAGAGAAGCTGCTTTGAAAAATCCCAAGGTGGCTGAATATCAAGAACACGGTTCCTGCTGTGGGCAGCTGTGTGTGCGATGGGCAGCCTGAGGGCTTAAAATCAAATCTCCAGCATGGGTTGGTGCCTGTCCCGGTAGGGTTTAGCAAGGGAGATAGAAAACCTAAACACTACAAAATGAAGAAGCCCTCAATACTAGTGGATGAGGGTTATCGTTTTCATTTACAGTTATCTTTTGTATTGTTGGTGGTATCTGTGAATAACGGTTTTTAAGAAAAAAAGAAAGAAAGAAAGAAAGGAAGGAAGGAAGAAAAGAGTGAGGAGAGAGAAAACAGGATGACTGACTTAACAGTAAAGATCTGCAGAGCCCTTACCTGAAACCGTCTCATGTCCCTTGGGTTTCCTGCTGTTTTCAAACAATTCTGATTGCACTTGAGGAAAAATTTTAAAAAGAATCTGTGAAGAGAAAGCAATGTGTTACATTTTTTCAGTAAACATTTTTTAAGGGAGAATATATCTGCATTCTATTAGATGTGATTTGAAAGCGATTGTGTTTCAGATCTGGGGAATTTCAACCGGCCATGACTGTAAGGAACATTGCTGACCCTCCGCAATTTGCAAATTTGAATGTTTTCAATCGCAAGACCAGTGCCCCCGTCTCCATCACTGTGGGGGATTGTTAAGCGGTTCACAAGCTGGGCTCTGGTTTGTACACTGACTCCAGGGTTTCCAGAGCACTCACTCACTCTGCAAAAAAAGGCTTCAAACACAGCAGTGACCCCTGCTGTACAGAAAGTCTTGCTCCAGGGTTAAAAATGGTAAAACTTGGACCAAAATCCCAGGGATCCCTCATATCTGTAGCTCTTTGCTGGCCACACACACACACACACACACACACACACCTTCATGCTCAAACATGAAGGTGGCCTGACATTTTGAAAAATGTATACAAAATCAGAAAACGGTATATTGCCATCCAAAGACAAAGCCCATCTGTGCTGACTTCCACCAGAGTTTTTATGGTTAATACGTATGAATGCCCTTTTAGACAGTCTCTAGCTTAGCCAGAAAGATACAAAGGCCCAGAGACATGGTCTTGAGGCTATTATTTGTAAGATCAAATTTTTAAGTCAATATTTTCCTAAACAATCTATGCAATTGAAAAACTGGTCATCTTTAAGCAGGCAATGACACCAAGACAAATGAGGAAAGTGGGCTTTACAGCAATTCACCCAGGTAATGTTTGAAATTTTGTGCAAAATACAGTAAGTTTTTCATTTATTTCACTTGCAAGGTCCTTTTCCTTAAAAAAGAAAAAAGAAAAAAAAAATCAGCTTTTGCAGTGTTAAAGTCCCAGGTGAGCTAGGCCTATTTCCCTTTCTGTTACTATGACAACGAAATTTTACCGCAGTCCCAAAGTCCCTTCAGAACTCTCACATCCATGCCTTGAATTAGAACTTTAAAGGAAAAGATATACATTTTTCCCAGGATTTATCAACAAAAATAAGCAGAAATCAACAATGCTTCCAAAAATTCTATTTTAAAGCAGTGGTTGGTGAAATGTTCTCACCACGACCTTTCACTTATTTTTATTTTTTTAACAATCACACCAAAGAATTAAAGAGTTTCTCCAATTAAATGTATTTATCACTTACAATGAAATCTGATGGGAAGACAAACAGTAAACAATAAGGAAGGGAATGGGGGGCAATGACACTTGAGAATATTTTCTGTATTTGTTCTTTCACTCTGTTCGCTAAAAATATTTGGCAGTGACATGTTTCTGACCCAATCTATGAATAAGGTTGGGTGTACAATGGAATAAACAGCTAAATCTTTTTAAAGTTATTTTGTAGCATCTGCTTTTTTGCCTCTCTTTCTATTTTTTATGGGGTGTATGGGAGGTTAGGCATTGCGGGAGCACCTAATGGAGGTGTGGGGGTCTTTGTCAGAGGAACCTGTAGAAGAAGTCTAAGAGAAAATGTTCCACGTTGCTTTATGCAGTGTTCAAATTCACAACCTGCCGCGGCTCTCCCAAGTGTAGTGAAATGTCTGCTTGTAGTAATCGGAGTACTTCAGAAAAAGAGAACTGCTTTTAGTTAAGGAAAAATCGATCAGAATTCAAACACTTTCTTTCTTCCAAGATTAGGGAAGATTGGGTGCATTCCGGGTGGCATGGCCACAGACAAACATTTCTTTCTTTATTTCCCTCCATTCGTACATTCATATCAGAGTCAGCAACAGCCATTTACAATGTATGGAGGTGCTCTGAGAAGGTGCTGAAAATGTGCCCTTCCTCCCTTGAGTCTCTTTCCAAACAATAGCTAGTCCCCCTACCACGCAACATTTGCCTCCAACACCCCCAGAAGTAAGTGACATTTTTTCCCCCTCTAAAACCAAACTGAGGGCTTTTCCCCTTTACTCCCTAATTTTTACAAAGTTTTGCCAGGACTGAACTCCTCATAATGTGTTCTGTGTGTGTTAGACATCCCCGTGCCTACCCCCACCCCTTCTCCAAAACGTATCTGGTGAAAACATTAAGGCTCATGAAGGCATTATTACATGAATGGTGTGGTAGGTGGAAAAGTGCAAAAGAGATAAATGTTTACATAAAATCAAATTGATTTAGGGAAACATGGGGCCTGCTGAAAAGCTTTATTCATTTTAAATTAGGACCCTTAGCAGTTATTTGGATGGAAAACACCCAGTTTTGATTCTCTTCACTTTCGCTTGTCAAGGAGCTGAGTTTGAAGCCTACGCAGAACCTTGTACTCTCTGGATTTAGCATTCAGCTCACAAAGGGAAGGGGTGGAAGATGAGAGGGAGAGAAAGAGTGAGGGAGGTAGAGTGGGAGAAGAGAGAGAGAGAGAAAGTTTCCACACATTATATAAGATTTTCTAGAAGAAGGCACAGCTACTTCTAAATGGCTAGCACCAGAAATTAAGTTCTGGACTTTTCTATATGGATCTAAAAATGAATTAAAAGAAATTTGGGGACTTCTTGAGATCTTCAGATTTTTCTCTTCTTTTCACTCATGTTTCCTATTGCTCTCCCCTCCACTCTCCAACCACGGTGCTCACAGTCTTGGTACAAAATCCCGTACTAACCATACCCTCCATTAGCCACAGGGTAACCTGCTGGGAACAAATTCCCTCAGAATCCCCTGGGTCTAGATCCCTTCGAAGCCAGAGATGCCTGGAAAATGTCAGCTCTCCACACTCAGAAACGGGAAACCAACGTGAATTGCAAGATTCAGACCAAATGTGCAGATTCTCATCAGGATGGAAGTTATTTCCACTTTCTCCAAACAATGTTGGCTACATAAATATTAGAGCCACTTAACATGCTATACTTTGCAAAGCATCTGATCTCATCCCTTAAGAGTGAACGATAGGTTTATCCTTGTTTTATGGGTGAAGAGGAATTGAGAAATGGGATCAAAATGGGAACTCAAACTCTCAGATTTCAATGTGGCCACTAGGTCACTGAAGCAATATAATATACTGAGAGGCATTCCTTCACTCCACAAATATGTATTAAATGCTGCTCGTGTGATAGTTTTGACCTGCTACCAACTAATGATGTAACCAAGTCACCTCGCTTCCCTGAGCTTCAGACTCTTGAACTGTTAGAAAAGTCATTTAACTGAATTATCTCTGGGGTTCCTTTTAATATGAATATGGTAGCTGCAAAGAAAAAAATGTGCAAAGTTAAGAACCCTCCAGGAAGGGCTACCTGAGGGAAGAAAATATTGGAGACAAAAAGACCATAGCTTGATAAAGTCCAAGTGGGTATGTAGTTGGCAAGGGGGGGGTTCTGAGATGATGCTTTGACCAGAGCTGGCAGTACCCCAATGCTGATGACTGTGTTGTTGGGCAAGATGCATGATTCCATTAGGATCCTTTCTTTATGGTTCTGAGGCAGGAGAGGTGCTTCAGGCATATCACAGATCAGAGCCATCCCTGCCCCTGCCCACCATACCATGTAGTCTGATAGCTGAAGGGTACAGGGGTCACAGACAGGAAAGACAGCTTAGGGAATACTCTGTGCTTAATATACTTCATTTAATTCTCACAACAACCCTATAAGTGACGATCATCCTACAACTGGGAGAAACAAAGGCGCCAAGAATTCAGGAAAGTTTCCAAAGACCACATAGCTTGCAAGTGGCAGACAGAAAGATCAGAACATGGGTCTTTCTGGCAACAAGCTCCATCTGGTGTTCTGCACCAATGGCATTAGGGTGATGGTTGCACAACTTTGTGGCTATACTAAAAACCATTGACTTGCACGCTTAGAATGGATGAACTTTATAATGTGTAAGTTACAGCTCCATAAAGCTAATTTAAAAATAAAAACCTCCAGAAAACATGGTCTAAGAGAGGGAAATTTTTAAAATAAAAAGTAAAGGAAGACAAATCAGGGGAGAAAAAGAGTGAAGAATTCTTGGGGAATGAGAGGACTGTAGCTCACCAAAGGAAGACATTAGGTCAAAGACAGCCCTATGGAAGTAAATGCTTAATACTGAAAACTCCTGCTCAATTAATTTATTTACTCATTTGATCAATATGTGTATCAAATGTATTCTAAATGTGAAGAAGGTTCAGGCACAGTTACAAAGTCCTTGACCCTATGGAACACCCAACCAGACTAATAAAATCTGCTTCTCCAGATTCTTTTTTTTTTTTTGGAGATTTTTTTTTTTTTTTTTTGCTATAGGGCATGTGCACTCGCCAGACAGACAGAGAGAGACAGAGAGACAGAAAGTGAGAAATCACCCCCCAGGGAGGATGACCATGCCACAATCTCTTCTCCTCCATTCTCCTCTCGGGATCTTGGGCACGCATGCACATGCGCCCGGCGTGAGTTTAAGCCACCGGGTCTGAGACTTGAACCGTGGTCGACTACATGGGAGTCCAGAGACATAGCCATTATGCTAACTGCTGGTCCCATGCTTCTCCAGATTCTAAGGTGAGTCTAGAGATCCCTGAACAGGGATCTGAATAAGATCTCAAGGGACTATCTAGAACCCAAGGAATCTCTCCCACCTGATAATCTCAAGAATACTAGAATATCCTATGCTGTTCAAAAATAGAATGAAGACTCCTAGGTGGCTTATACATGCCCTGTGCCCATATCAAACAGAACCTGAGTTCCAAACTAGATGCTAAATTTGAGTGTGGGGTTCAGATCCAGTGGTAACTCTCAAACACAGGAAGAACAACTGCTTCATATTCTTTCCAGATACTGGAATTATAACCAACGATTGACTGTCACAAAACCCAGCATGGTATTTGTCCAGAAGTATGGAAGAGGCCACTCAATTGACCTTCAATTTGAAATCCAAGATCTAGTCCCTTCTTAAAAATTTCAATACAAAAAAAAAAAAATAGGCAAGCTCTGAGGAAGAAGCCACAGCTTCTTTCAAGAAAAAGATTACATGAAAAAATGTGAGC